GTGGGGGTGGTTCCCTGCCACGGGGGAGGGTTGGGAAGACCCCCTCCACGCCCCCTAACTGTGCCGTGGGCTCTGCAGGAGGTGCCCCTCCAGCCAGCTACCCCAATGTCATCACCACCTTCCGATTCCTGTCCCAGAAGCTCTTCATCTCCGTTTCGGTGCTGGCCTCGTTGGGCATCCTCCTGGCCATCATCTGCCTGGCCTTCAACATCTACAACGGGCACGTCCGGTCAGTGATCCTCCCCGTTTTCCCGGTGTTTGGGGAAATATCGCGCCTTTCCTTTTCCACAGCTGCTAAAAACCAAAAACCACCCCGGCTCAGCAGCGTGTGGTTAGCAACACCCGGAGGGGAAAGAAAGGGATTATGCGCTCCCGTGTCCTCCTACAGAAGATGAGAGTGACAACACGTTGTTGTTAGTAGATATCCCAGTTGCCCGTCTCGCTGTGTAGGAGCTTCGGGTGATATCAAGGGTCTGGTTGTAGCACGTGGTTTCCTGTTTATCTCACTTCGTGTCCCCGTTTCTAGCTAACCCCGTTGGGTTAGCTGAACGTCATACACCACCGATAGCTGAGCACGGTGGCCGGGTGACACTCAACACCCCCACCCCCACCCCCCCCCACGAAGCCGTACCTGAACAACATGGCGGCTGTGGGCTGCACGCTGGCGCTTGCTGCTGTCTTCCCCCTGGGACTCGACGGGTACCACATCGGGCCGGGGCTTTTCCCTTTTGTCTGTCAGGTATGGGGCTGGCGGGGGGTTGGGGGGTACAGGCGGAGTGGGGACAGCCAGGGGACGGGGACAGCCGGAGGAGGAACAGTTGGAGATACAGCCAGGGGATGGGGACAGTCGGAGGAAGAACAGTTGGAGATACAGCCAGGGAGTGGAGACATTTGGAGGAGGAACAGTTGGAGATACAGCCAGGGAGCGGAGACATTTGGAGGAGGAACAGTTGGAGATACAGCCAGGGGACGGGGACAGCCGGAGGAGGAGCAGTTGGAGATAGAGCCAGGGGATGGGGACAGCCAGAGGAGGAGCAGTTGGAGATACAGCCAGGGGACGGGGACAGCCGGAGGAGGAGCAGTTGGAGATAGAGCCAGGGGATGGGGACAGTCGGAGGAAGAACAGTTGGAGATACAGCCAGGGAGTGGAGACATTTGGAGGAGGAGCAGTTGGAGATACAGCCAGGGAGTGGAGACATTTGGAGGAGGAGCAGTTGGAGATAGAGCCAGGGGATGGGGACAGTCGGAGGAAGAACAGTTGGAGATACAGCCAGGGAGCGGAGACATTTGGAGGAGGAACAGTTGGAGATACAGCCAGGGAGCGGAGACATTTGGAGGAGGAACAGTTGGAGATACAGCCAGGGAGCGGAGACATTTGGAGGAGGAGCAGTTGGAGATAGAGCCAGGGGATGGGGACAGTCGGAGGAAGAACAGTTGGAGATAAAACCAGGGGATGGGGACAGCCGGAGGAGGAGCAGTTGGAGATAGAGCCAGGGGATGGGGACAGTCGGAGGAAGAACAGTTGGAGATAAAACCAGGGGATGGGGACAGCCAGAGGAGGAGCAGTTGGAGATAGAGCCAGGGGATGGGGACAGTCGGAGGAAGAACAGTTGGAGATACAGCCAGGGAGTGGAGACATTTGGAGGAGGAACAGTTGGAGATACAGCCAGGGAGCGGAGACATTTGGAGGAGGAGCAGTTGGAGATACAGCCAGGGGATGGGGACAGTCGGAGGAAGAACAGTTGGAGATACAGCCAGGGAGCGGAGACATTTGGAGGAGGAACAGTTGGAGATACAGCCAGGGAGTGGAGACATTTGGAGGAGGAACAGTTGGAGATACAGCCAGGGGATGGGGACAGTCGGAGGAAGAACAGTTGGAGATAAAACCAGGGGATGGGGACAGCCGGAGGAGGAGCAGTTGGAGATACAGCCAGGGAGTGGAGACATTTGGAGGAGGAACAGTTGGAGATACAGCCAGGGAGCGGAGACATTTGGAGGAGGAGCAGTTGGAGATACAACCAGGGGATTGGGACAGTTGGAGTCAGGAGTAGAGCTGTGGACTTCCAAAGCAGTCGGAGAAGGGAGGTCTATGGGAGGGGGGTACACTCCGTGGTGGGTGCAGCGGAGGTGGGTACAGCTGGATGGGGAGGTACGACCGGCTCCTCCCAACCCACGTACCCTCCCCAGGCCCGGCTGTGGCTCCTCGGGCTGGGGTTCAGCCTGGCGTATGGCAGCATGTTCACCAAGATCTGGTGGGTCCACACCGTCTTCACCAAGAAGGAGGAGAAGAAGGAGAAGAGAAAGGTGAGGGGTGACCCA